TCTAAATGACAGTTCAACCACAGATTCTGAAGGATCCACTTGCTGGTTCAGCAATGCTGTCTAGCTGGAGTAAGCTCCATCTGCAATTTGCTGGCATTTGTTCCCATATACCTAATCTGATTTTAAGTATTACAGCAATTTACTCTCTTTCTTTTTTTTTTTTTTTTTATTGTTTTTTTACAATTTAGCTAAGGATATAACAATAGAATAGGGCACAGGGCTCAGACATCATGCATTAAACAGAGGAGTAAGAACAATTACATTGATTAAGAATATTACAAGAGGAAGAACAATACAGGCCCAAATTCTGGAATGTAGCAAGAGCTTGCACAGTTCGTATTTCTTTTTGTTTAAGCAAAGGTTAGTGTCAGAATCAGCTTCCGCTCATCTTTCTATGTTTTATATGTTTACCCTGTATTCTGTATAGCTCCTCTGTTGGTTGTTGAAGTCATTTAAATCAATACCTACAGGTAATTCACAAAAGGGTGAAGAGTTTGGAGAAGGCAGGAGAAGTGAACAATCTAGGACAACATAGCTGAACTGGAAAGGGAGCTGAATTTGAGAATGTTTCCAAATCAGCTATTTTGGCCTAGATTGTTCTCTTCTCCTGCCTTCTCCAAGCTCTTCACCCTTTTGTGAATTACCCTGCTAGTTTTAATAATGTTTTGCTTTGCCTTTTTTTGTTGCATCAGGAAAAGGTAAAGTATATTAGTAGAGTATATTCTTGGGGGGGGGGGGAGAGCACCCTCCTGACGGCATGATCTTTTATCACTAGTTAAAGCTCAGAGAGGAACCTATTCCAGTACTCTCAAACTTTATTGTATTGTTCAAGCATGTTGTGATATAAGTAGTTCCATAAGACATTTATTTAATGTGATTAATCACTCTGTTGATAATGGAGGTTGAGTTTCTTTTCATTTTGGTTCTTATCAGGCAGGGTGTAGCCTCATATATGTAAGAAAAAGAGATGATGAGATACTTTGTACTGGATAGCATAGGAGGTGTGTAAACAAGTAGCTGAGTGCAAAAAATATTATGACTTTCTAATATCTAACTGACGGCTTGCACTAGAATTGTGATTTTCAAAATTTAAGGCTCAGGAATTCAGGAACAGGTTCTTTTTAACACTGTCTTCATACTTTGCTTATATTTATTGTTATTTTGCAGATGACAAATTGGATTCAGATGATGATTTCAACTTCATTCAAAAAGTAGAAATGTCATCACCAAACTGCTCGATAGTAGATAGTCCTGAAGAACTGTGTTATCCGCAATCATCTGCTGATGAATCAAAACAACCACTTGATCACTGTGAAACAAAAACTTTAACTTTAACTTTACACTCATCTGCAGATGTATCAAAGCGATCTGAGCACCACAAAGCAAAAACATCAAAAGAGATCATGGAGCCTACATCCACTGTGCTTACTCAACAGCAATTACCAAGCTGGGACAGAAAGTTAGACCAGCTTATCGCCCAACAACAGCAAACAAATGAGACTCTCAAAGACATGAGTCTGATGGTAAAAACCAACTTTTTAGAGTTGCAAAAATCAATTATGTCCAATCAGAAGACATCCACCAAGCAGGGCAGAGCTCTGGAAAATACCATGAAAAGTCTTCACACTGAGATGAATGAAATCAGCAACCAGCTTAGAGTAAAACATCTGCAGGGACTTATGCCAGATTTGGATACAGGTACATCAAAAATGCTAAGCAGCCATTCAAATAAAAACACCACACCAGGAAGAAAAACAAGGGCTGAAACCCCCTCATCTTCTGGCTAATTAAAGAAGAAGAAATGATTCTTAAAATGTTTCAGAAACCCATTAATGGGAAAGTTGCCGCTTTCTACATTCCCTGCTCAGTGAAATAGGTCACAAATATTTTAGCATATATACTATACCATTTTACCTGCTTACCCTTATAATGGTAATTAAATATACATTTCATTCACTTTCTACTTCCTGTAATCACTTACTTGTTCCTGAGTAGGGTGGGATATAGTCACATTGGCAACAGATGCATCTTTTCTTTGAATCAGTGGATTTCTGGGATTTATTCCCAGAAACTGATAAAGATATGGGGATTGATTTACTTTTAGGCAAAAAAGCTTTACAAGGGAATTTTCTTTTAGCTTAGTCAATATGGTGAAAATCATCTCTCCTAACTGAAAGTCTGTACCTCACTACGAGCTCTGCCTGGGAGAGAATGTGCAGAAGCCTGAGCTTTGCAGCTGCGATTGAGTGATCACGATTGCTATGCTTTCCAAGCTTGAATGCAAATATTAAAGAAATGCATAATTTTGTAATATATTAATAATTATGCATTTCTTTAATTTTTGCAAAAGGAGAACTTATCCTTTAACCCTTGAGAAGAAAGATGGGGTAACTTCGCCTGAGCGCCTTCTTGTTAGTCTCCTGCAATGCAGCTGATCACAACATGTGGCAACCTCTCATCTGCAACAGTCTAGCCTTACTCACTTTTTTGGCAGCTTACCAAGGATTGCACCACCTTCCTCTCTTCTCTTAGGTTTATAACCATTTAACTGTGTTCATTGCTTGCTAGATATTGGGATCACTATAGCTTTCCTGTTATCTCTCTTATATATCATTTGTGTATTTAGTACACTGTGATACTCAAAGGCTTTGGCAATATGGGCTTGACATTTTAGGACATGTTCATAACACGGTTTACATACTGTATGTACTGGGACTTACGTGCTGACCCAATCATAGAGGGTCTGAGTTCTGGGCAGTGCATAAGTCCCGGTACACATGTAAGCAGTGGGATTTGAGCGCATAGCCATACAGCTGCAACTTCACCCAATCTGTCGTTCATTTCTACAAGCTGTATGGTTCACCTGTCACTCCCAGGCAGAGAAATACGCTGGGATGTTCGCTATACGGCTCTCTTGGGTGCAAGAGGCTTTTTTACCCACAGCATTAAATATGTATGGTGTGAACAGGGCACATAGAAAACAATTGTTCACACCATACATGTTGGGTGGTCTGCAGAAAAACAGAGCTCAACAAACACGGTGTGAATAAGCCCTTAGAGTTCTTTTTCGCTTTTAGATACGTGGCCCATTTATTATATGTGGGAATATGTGGGTATGTTTTTAATGCATTTCTGGTTTTAATGCTTTGTAGGATGTTTTGTGTTAAATGCTGCATACTGCACTGGATCAACTGCAATTTTCATACTAGTCAACATTTCTTGTTTTACTTGATTGTGCATTAAAGCGGTTTTTGAATAATATGTAGTGGTGCCGAGATTTCTACAAATGGCTTTTGGTTTTGTGAAATCAGTTTGACATTGTAACTGTTAGTCTTTAGGTGACCATTGACCCTTCGACTGCCACAGAATTGGATCTGCCATATTTCTATACTTCCCATTGTTTTCTTCTCTTTTGGAATGTGACCCACTCTGACTGCACTCCTAGACAGCTCCACAGTCTATGATAGAGATATTCAGCTTGGCCGCAAGGTGGTTCCAGGAAGAGACCAATTCAGTTCTCATTTGAAGAAGCTTGTTCACAAGCTTTCCCTAGTCTGGATTAAAGAATTCAAGGTAATGTAGTCTGGGGCTTCCCTGAATGGGAGGAGTGACAAAGAAGTCACTCACACAAGTGCAGCAATCAGCTTAAAAAACATGTCTATTTAATGTACTCAGTGTGTACATTGAAGCCATTTGTTTTTTTAATTTCCCGAAACAAGGTGGAATAACAATTTAAAGAGACCCTGTCACCAGACTTTATTAAAAAAAATAATCTTTGTGAACCATTGTTTGCCACCATATTTTGACTACAGTCTCCTTCATACATAAATAAAAAACATATGTATTGCTTCTACCTGTAATTTTTTAAAGTGATACTAAACTCATGAGTTAAATCTTAAAAATGCATTCTAGTACCTTAACTAGTAACAAAAATGTATCTTATTTGTGCATCACTCGGCTGTAGATTCTTAGATCATCTCTGAATTCATGCTGACACTGTCCTTCCTTCTAGAGGGTGCCTACTTTTGTTCCCCATGGTCCCTGTGTATTGTAAAGTGGTCACCGCTCCAAACTTACTTCCACGATAGACTACAATCTCACGTTTAGTTTACTAATTTGTATTGAGATTGTAGTCCATCACAGGAGCGATCTTGGGGAGATGGGTACTTTACTACCATGGGGAACAAAAGTGGACACCCCTCCAGAAGGAAGGACAGTGTCCGCACCAATTCAGAGATGATTTGAGGATCTACAGCTGATGGGGCATTTTTTCTTTCTTCCGTTCACCATCCATGCCAGTGCATTTTTCATTTCCACTGATCAGCAAAGTAAGGGGGACTGATACATAATCTTAACCGCTGCAATCTTTATGCTGTGCTGTCAGGTACATACTCTTTACCAAAGTATCTGTTGTTTCAACAGTTGCTGGTTACGAAGTAGCCCGGTGATAATAAAAGAACTGCGGCAAACATGTGCATTGTATACAGTGTGTCAACTCGGACTCTGTTCAACCATACCCGTTTAAACTACACCCAAAATTCATCCACTATGTAACCATGCCCGCCTGTTGCCAAGGCACACTATGTACACTGCATTAACCCTTACCCAGGCTGTCTCTCTTTATGAATATCTAAAGTGAAAGTTGGGGAGGTATGTTATTACAGTAATTGACACCAATAATGGGGGTTATTATTGCAGAATGTAGTTTATAGAACCACCATTTACTCACTAAATATTCATCTACTTGTTTGATAATGTGTAGAAAGTGGAAAGCAAAACTTATGTTTTATATATCTGACACTCGAAATTTCTTACAAACATTTTTGGCACGCTACACTCAAAAGGATGCCTACCCCTGGTCTATATGTCACATTTATTACAGAGTAAATACACAGCACAACTCCATATAATAATTTTATAAAAGCCTGTATTTAGTTCATAAACATGATGTATTTATATAAGTCACAGTTTTATGTCATAATAAAGCAGTCTTTATACAGTATGTTCACATTCAGTTTCTTTCCGGTACAAAGATACCATGAAATCCATAAGGCATCTGCAAAGGCACTTCCGCTCTGGCAATTTCTGTGAAGTCTTTTGCATCCAAGATTAAAAGAAATGTATTTTTATCCTAAAACAAAGAGAAACAGAGAGAATATATCATACAATCAGGTTTCTTTTGCTCACTGATCTGAACTGATTTTGTAAATGTTATTTCTCCTTCCGCCCTCTAGTGTAAAATACTGGAGTGACACCATTTCTGCTGGCAGATAACAGGAACTACCATATGCCAGAGCTTTCCTTTCTGTATCCTGATTATGTGTAATTGCAGAATTATTTTCTAGATTATCTAGGAAACTGTTCCAACACAAAACAGCCTGAATAAAATGTAATGTGTTTTAAAAGTGTATGGTGACAGATTCTCCTGATAGCTCACCACCTCTGCTAATACTTACTTTCCCTCTGCTCCCCAATCATTCTGTTTGGCTGATAGAGCTTTGTTAAAAGTCCTGTGTAAGCTTGTGTCAGCCTGTATTAGAGCTTGCACAGGGCTGATGATCTTTCCACTGACCCTACAGCACAGTGCTTGTGCCTAGTGATTGGCAGCTCAGGTACTGTGTAAGGCATACTGATGGGAGGGGGAGAAGGTCACATGTTCCCCCTTAATCCGAATTACTGTGTATTTCAAAGGGCTCCAACAGGCAGAGTGGTGGTGGAGGACAGTGAAGGTATTTACGAGGAGAGGCCAATAAGTTCTTACCCTCACCATGATCTAGATGTGCTAGGGATCTGACATTTTGCAGGTTTATAGGTGGATATCTTAGTAATATGCATGCCATTTTGATTTTGTAGCTCGTGGTGAATTATAGTAAGAGCCAAGAGAAATGGAGTAGGTGTCTTGACGGACAAAGTTGAATACCGAGCCGCGATTAGGTTCCTCCATCTTCAAGGGAAATCTGCCCAAATAATCGAGCTGCAGAAACTGTCACTTTTGTTTGCGATTGTGGCTATGAATCTCTGCCCCATCCACCTTACTCACCTGATCTGGCACCTTTGGACTTCTTCCCGTTTCCAAATCTGAAGAAACATTTACGGAGAAGACGTTTCCACAATGATGAGGCAGTCATTACTGAAGTTGATAGCTGGTTTTCCTCCAAATCTGCTTACTTCTACGCTGATGGTATTAACCTCTTGCCGTCCGCCCGTAGTAAAAAAACGGACGGACGGCACTGCTACATCTGCGGGTTGCCGTCTCCAGGCGGCAATTTTTTTCTGCTCGCGTGCGCCCCCTAGCGGGCACGCACGGGCAGAAAAGACCCGACCGTTGCACACACACGTTACCGGGTGTTTGACATATAGGCGATCAGCGGGTCCATAGCCCGCCGATCGCCTATATGTGCTCGTTCGCGGGATCCGCTGCCCCAGCTGCTATAGCCAGAGAGAAGAAGCTGATGAAGCAGATCTCTGCTTCATCAGCTTCTTTTGGGGTCCACAGGTGATATTAGGGGTCCTAGAGACCCCTAATATCTCCATAAAGAGGACCTGTCAGTGTGCCTTTGCTATTATATAGGGGGTTGTTATCCCCCTATATAATAGCAATAACAA